GTGGGAGCAAGTTCATTATGTTAGTCCTATAGGTTGACGACATCCTTCTTGCTGCGAATGATGTTGGCTTATTACATGATGTAAAGGGTTTTCTCTCTAAGAACTTTGAAATGAAAGATATGGGTGAGGCATATGGGTGAGGCATACTATGTGATAGGTGAAATATTCCTATGACTAGGTCACAGGATTGTCTTAAAGAGCTTAATTGATAAGATCTTTAGAGAGCATTTAGAATGGAAAAGTTGCTCCGCAGGAACAAGATTTCCAATTCAAAACGAGATAGCTCACAGCGAACTGCAAATGTGCTAAAATGATTTGGAATGGTAAAGATGGAGTCTATTCCATATGCGTCAGTAGTTAGGAGCTTAATGTATGTTCAAACATGTACTCGACCGGATATTAGTTTCATCGTCGGAATGTTAGGGCAATATCAAAGTAATCCCGGAATGGACCATTGGAAAGCTACAAAGAAAGCACTTACGTATTTATAAGGCACTAAGGATCATATACTCACTTATAGAAAGTCCAGCATCTTGAAGTGGTGGGATACTTGGATTCAGACTATGCCGGTTGTGTAGATTCGAGAAAATCTACATTTGGCTACTTGTTTCTCCTAACTGGAGGAGCAGTTTCATGGAAAAGTGGAAAGCAGTTTGTCATTGCTACTTCCACAAAGGAGGCTGAATTTGTGGCATGCTTTGAGGCCACTGTTCACACATTGTGGTTGCAAAACTCTGTCTCAGGTCTAGGCATTGTCGACAGTATAGCTAGACCGTTGAGAATTTACTGTGATAATTCCGCAGCTGTTTTTTTCTCTAAGAACGATAGGTATTCTAAGGGTACAAAGCACATGGATTTAAAATACCTATCTGTGAAAGAAAAAGTGCAAAAACACAAGGTGTCAATTGAGCATATCGGTATTGATCTGATGATAGCGGATCTACTAACTAAAGGATTACCACCCAAAATCTTCACTGGCCATGTTAAATCTTCACTGGCCATGTTGAAAGGATGGGTGTTATAGATAAGTCCTTGTTAGCATGATATTCAAACTTGTATATCTATATACATATGGTTATTTAGCTCATATTATTGTGACACTAGGGAATTCAATTAAAGATGTATTTTGCTTATTTATTTGTTATCCACATTATAGATGTATACAGGAATGGTTTAAGTGAGATAACAATATTGTTTATTGTAACAATGTATTATTTGTTGCATCATTTCTCAATTAAGGATTTATGAATTGAGATGGTCTGTGATATATGGAAGGAATCATGTCGATTAATGACTTTACCGCTCATAGATCCCAATCGTTCAATTCTAATTAAAGGCTAATTATTAATAGATTGCAAAAAAACAGCACATGGGTCAAGTGGGAGATTTATTATATTATTTTTAATAATCTATTGTGCGCCCATGTATAAATGGCATGATTCTATTTAAGGTGGCCCAAGATTGAATGGTTAATTGCAGTTAATGGGATGAGGACCAATATAGGTTAACCCTATCTTCTGCCTTATTAAAAGGATAATACCCTTCTTCTGCCTTATAAAAGATCAAGGAAATCAACAGCATAGGTTAAGAGAGTGTGACGGCTACCTCAAACACATAGCGGTGATAGGTTGTTTAAGAGAACGTGAAAAGAAAACTCTCGTTGCTGTCGATAATTCTCTGACCATTAGGAGAGAACTTACAGACAAAAGGCCAGAGTGAAGAAACATAGATCTACTGTTACGGTGAGAATCGAATTGCCGAAACAAGATAATCAATAGCTATGGATCAAGGTACGCTTTCGTTAACAGTTTTTCTATTAAATAATTTCTGGACAAAACGATCTAGGTAGCATTAAAGTTTTACATCTAAAGCCATTGCCATCAACAAGGTCATGGCTTGGATAAGCTCTAATCGTGGCTCCTTACCAGTTGACCTCCAGTCCATGCTCCAAACAGATCACATTAATCGCCTCCTTGTAAATCAAAATTACATGAGGTTATCCAATTAGGTACTTTATTACTATTTGCAACTATGGTTTGCATTCAATTTTTTTTTTTTTTTTTTTTTTTTTTTTTTTTTTTTTTGGTTTTAGAAAAATTAATCTATTAGAGATATTATTTGTTCTTATGGTGGAAGAGGAGATGGTGGTGGCGATAACAATTTGGTAATGTTATTTTTGAATGAGGGTATTTTCGTACTTACACATTGATTTGACAGCTAGCAGTGAGTGTTTTGAAAGGAAGATACAACTGTTAACGGAATCAAAATTCTTGGACCTTGTATTTACTTCTTGAAAACTGAGATCTTCAAATGTTAGAGGCAAATCTCAGGAATGCGATTATCATTTTTTCCTTTTTTTTTTTTTTTTTTTTTTTTTTTTTCTATCTTTTGAAGGACTTCATAGGTAGTTGAGAATTATAAATCCTCAATCCAAGGAATATTGATCACATAATTTAGGCTTTAATTTACCTCTCGATGTGAAATTTATTATACACATTTATTTATCATCCTTAAACTTTAAATTCGTTATTTAAAAATTACCCCAAATTATTATTATAAGTGTTTTTTTTTTTTTTTTTTTATTTTTGCATCAATTACTATTTATGAAGAAAGGTATTAAAATGTTTGCACAAGGTGGAAATCACTACCAATTTTAAGCAGAGTTTAAACAACCAAAATTTTTTTTTTTTTTTTTTTTTTTTGCCATCAATTACTATTTATGAAGAAAGGTATTAAAATTTGCACAAGGTAGGAAATACTACAATTTTAAGCAGATTTAACACAATTATATTTTTCAGATACAAATCAAAGGCGAATAAAGGCACTGTAAGTGTATAGTAAATTGACTTTTGCCAATTTAATTCAATTATAGCTACCAGAATACCAGTTGAACACCATGTTTGCTTAAAAATAATTAAAATTTTGTTGTCACAAATAACACTTTCCTCCATTTCGGTAGAAACTCTCTTTCCTTCTTTTTCGTCTCTCCTTCATCTTTTGTCTTTTCTCTTGTCTGCACTCATCCTCTCACCTTCACCACCACATTCATGAGTAATAAAAAACCACCACCATCACCACTACCATCTCTCTCTGAGTCAATTACTATCACCAAAATTAACATTATTAATATAAACATTAGGAAAATAAATTTGACATCAAGTAATGAGTAGCAGTCAAGTAGCTATTTCTTTTCTAACTAATCTAATCATCATAATCAAACCCACCTTCGAGCATCAATCTATAGAAGTTGCAGCTAATCTTCTAATTTCCAGTTCATCTCATTTTATTTATGGAATTTATATTTCTGAGTAAATATAGGAAAAATGGGTTAGATTGGTGGATGTTTGAGTGCTTTGGTGAAGGTGGTTAAGAGATCTGGACAACCAGAAGGAAATGGTAATAGAGATTTTCACAGGGAGACTCAAGAGACTTGTTGAGATCGTTCCATGAAAGGAGAAAGACAACAATGAAAGTGAAATTAATTTTGTTAGCCCCAAGGTTTCAGAGTTGATTTTGATGATAAAAAACATTGTGATATTACTAATGTGTTTGCTAGAGTGTTGCAAATACAATGGAGTAAGCTTTAAGTGAAATTAATTTTAGAATTATTATTTATTAGCATATAAAATCATTTATGCTAGAATCAAATTTGAAGATAAAAGAGAAAGAAGTAGTTTACATATATTTCAGGACTTAGAAAAATTTTAGTATTAAAGAAATGCAACGTGGCCTGACAAAATGCATGGTGGAATTGCTAATGGAATTTTATTATAAATGCGTTATTTTTATTAATAATTATTTCAAAAAGTATTATAACATAAATATATTGCTAAATTAAGATATAATTTTTGGTTATTGATTAAAAACATTCAAGGAAATGAAATTACGGAACAATAATTAAATAATATTTTAAAATATAAAATACGTCCTTATGTTAAAATTACATAGTTTTGGATTGGTTCTAATTAAAGGTATATACATGGCCACATTGGCATATATTTTTTCGTATGAATTATATATAATCATAAGTAATACCATTTATATATAAGTTTTTTTTTCTATTAATAATTAACTAGCATTATAATTATAATTAATACTCTAATATATACTAACATATCTTTCTTATTAATTATGATAGATAATTTATAATTTAAGAAATATTATAATTATGTATTTTTATTATTATTCTAATCACAATTGTTTTAATTATGAAGGTTATCCATATAAATACATTAATTATAGAACTTTTTAATCATAATTATATTTACTATTACAACTATCATTATACTAAGTAATACTGTGCATAATAAATATTATAAATTTATAATTATATGTAATAATACCAATATTTTAAAAATACCCTTAATAGAGTTTGTCATTTTTAGTAACACATCTGGAACAATAAAATAATTATTAAAAGTTATAATAAAAAATTACTAACTAACTATTATCGAGCTTGAATTTGAGTTTCGAGTTCGTGCTCTTACCGAGCCGAATACGAGCTTATATTTGAACTTTTATCGAGCTTGAATTCAAACTCTTAACAAACATAAATATGAGTTTAAACTTGAAGCCTTTATCAAACTTAAATTCGAGCTTGAACTCAAGTTTTCATCAACATTTTACAAATAAAATTTAAACAAGTTAAGACTCAATCCAACTTGATTTGTTTACAACCCTAGGTGGTGCGATTAGGGCCGGTGATAAGGGAATTATTGGGTTCGACGGGGTGTTTATTAAAATTAAAATTTTTTCTCTCTCGTTAGATTGTCTTAAGTTGTTAAAATTAATAACAAAAATTGATAATTTTGGACGAAAGGACGAAACTATTAACGAAATTAAAATGTAGCGCCCTAATAATTAGTTTTTGAAACTAAAAGTCCTTAAATATTAATTAAATCAAAATTTAGGTAATTAGATTATTTTTTTCTTAAAAAATATATCAAAAATCCAAAATAGATGGTTAATTATGGATCACAAAAAAGGCCGTTCCTTTGAGACATTACGCAATCCTCTCCCTCCACGAGTTGGTGAACACTAACAGAACTCCGTCCTAGGCCTGAACTTACTTACATGCTCAACCGACGCACTTCGTTAATTCATATCGTCTCTAACACTCTCGGCGCACAGAAATTCCAGTTTCAATGTTACTCCTTTCTCCGCCTCCGATACACTCCTTTCCCGCCAATCCGAACTCTCTCTCAACCATGAAGGCAAAACGACAACCGTACAGGTCATTTCGTAAGCCACTGCGAGCTATTAACCGCCGCGGCAAAGATGTCGATGCGTTTACTAAGAAATCTGGTTACATATTTGACCTCAGCGACAGAGAAGCCAACTCTTTAATCGATTATGATATTGAAAAGATAGCTGCGGTTTTTAGGAGGAAACCGTTGATTTTGTTTCGCAGATTGTTTCAGATTGCTACCACTTTTGGCCGTTGGTTTGGGGCTCGTTACATTGATAGCCTTGCAGAGAAATCTGATCAAATGTTCAAGGTTTGAGAGCAAAAGGAGTCTTCAGTTATCTTTGTATTTTCTTTTTATTCTTAAAATTTTTCTGCTTTATGAAGGAAATTATAATTGTCATAATATTTCTTCTTGGATGATTGCAGATTAGAGCTGCAGAGCTTCGAAAAATATTGCTGGAACTTGGTCCTGTATGATAATATATATATTTTAAAATTTTGTAGGAATTTTTGTGCTGTTAGGGCCTTTAGTTTTATTTCAGGATTTGTCAAGAAAAAGAAAAGAAAATAATATTTAGATAGAATGTTAATCAGGGTGTTCTTTTAATCTGTATTCATTATTTATTTTTTCAGGCCTATATCAAAATTGCTCAGGCTGTTTCATCTCGGGCTGTAAGTTGTCATATCTCCCATTTACTTTGTAACTATAGTATCCTTTCTGATAGAGTGAGTTTTCTGTTTGATTTTGTTGACATTATATTGATTCTTTAGTAAGATTTACTTCTTGAAAGCCTTTGTTATTGGTGTGAACTGTGAATCTACATTTAGCTCAGTTTTATTCATGGTGAAAAGACTTTGTTATTGGTGTTTAAAGTTTACCAGATGTTGAAAAGCTTTGGTATCATGCATTATCCTTCCTTTGACTTTTGGAAAAGGACAAATGGTGCTACTTCAAAGGAAGTTTCTTGCTGCCTAACTAGTAGAGCTTGACTACCAGTCATATTATATTCTTTAGTGATCCCATTTTTCTTATGGGGAGAAAAAGAAGCATAAGAAGAGAAAGAGAGACAGATAAAAATGGAAATAATTGAGTACTGGAAAATCTGAGATGAGAGTGGAAATAACAAGAAAAGAGCAAAACAAAAAAAAAAAAAAAAAAAAAAAAAAACAGAGACGACAGATAAAAATCGGAAATTAATGGTTATGGAAAATCTTGAGATGAGGTGGAAAATACACAAGAAAAGAGCAAAACAAAAAAAAAAAAAAAAAAAAAAAAAAAAAAAAAAAAAAAAAAAAAAAGGAAAAAGTTGTCTAACTTATTCATTTTTTCAATCATGTGAATCAATAAACTCGAGTTGGAGTTAAATTTGAATCTCAAGTAATTAATTTGTTATTTGTACATGATTCTATTACATTTCAAATAACATGCCAATTCAAATCATTGAATATTTTAATTGGATTGGATAATGATTTTTGATATGAATAATAGAATTACTCCCTCTCTCTCTCTCTCTCTTTCTCCTGTTGTGTTCATTTGAGAAGTTATTGCTATGTTTCCCAACCCATTTTTAAGCCTTGAGCTGAGTATTACTCACCTTATTTTTTCGAAGGGACTGTATCGTGTCTATGGTCGAACTCCACCATTGTAGCTAAATGTAATGCACTTTACAAAGGTCAGTTTAGGCCCTAAAATTTGGAGAGCTGAGTATTACTCACCTTATTTTTTCGAAGGGACTGTATCGTGTCTATGGTCGAACTCCACCATTGTAGCTAAATGTAATGCACTTTACAAAGGTCAGTTTAGGCCCTAAAATTTGGAGAGCTGAGTATTACTCACCTTATTTTTTCGAAGGGACTGTATCGTGTCTATGGTCGAACTCCACCATTGTAGCTAAATGTAATGCACTTTACAAAGGTCAGTTTAGGCCCTAAAATTTGGAGAGCTGAGTATTACTCACCTTATTTTTTCGCGATGAAAGTGACATTGGTCAACATACAGCTGAAGCTTTTTGTTGATTTTCAGAGAACATGAGAAGAATTTTTTTTTTTTTTTTTTTTTAAATTTTTATTCTTATATATTTGTGATTTACATCTAGGGTGTATACCCATTACACATAGCCTACAACTATATTAGAAAATTTATAATAAAAGGAAATAAATCATATAAGAACATTATTAAATCAACACTTTACCCTCAAAGTTGGAGAAGAATTTTTTTTTTTTTTTTTTTTTAAATTTTTATTTCTTATATATTTGTGATTTACATCTAGGTGTATACATACACATAGCCTACAACTATATAGAAAATTTATAATAAAGGAAATAAATCATATAAGAACATATAAATCAACACTTACCCTCAAGTTGGTGCATAGATATTGCAAATGCCCAACATGCAAACTAAATTATGAAATTGTTTGCTATTAAGCCCTTAAGTAATAACATCTGCAATCTGATTATCTGAAGTCATATGAGTAAACTTCAAAACATCCCGGATGAATTTTTTCTTTGATGAAATGTCTATCAATCTCTATATGCTTTGTCTGAAAATGTTGAGCAGGATTTTGAGCAATAGTAATGGCAGCCTTGTAGTCATAGAACAAAGTCGAACCTTCTCCTTTCGGCATTCGCAATTCTTCCATTGTCTTCCTTAGCCATAACAGTTCGTAAATCCCTTGAGCCATAGCTCTATATTCTGCTTCTACACTCGAACGTGCTACTACAATCTGCTTTTTCCTTCTCCAAGTAACTAGGTTTCTTCCAACAAAGGTACAATAACCAGAAGTTGATCTCCTATCATCTAGAGATCCAATCTGTCAACATCAGTAAAGGCTTCAGTTTTGAGGTGATCGTGCTTGGATAAAAGTACACCTCTTCCAAGAGTAGACTTTAGATATCTTAAAATGGGAAGACAACTTCAAGATGAGAACTAAGAGGATCATGCATATATTGATTAACTAAACTTGCAACATATGCTATATTAGGTCTAGTATGTGAGAGATAAATCAATTTGCCAACCAATCTCTGATATAGACCCAAGTCATTCGATTCTCCCACTCTTGCTTGCAACTTGTGATTAATTCAATGGGAGAATCAGTTGGTTTACAACCCAACATGCGAGTTTCTTTCAAGAGATCTAGGATATATTTCCTTTGAGAGAAAAAGATCCCTTTATCTGATCTAGCAACTTCTATACCCAAAAAGTATCTCAAACTTTCTAAGCCCTTAATCTCAAACTCCTAAGCCAACAACTTCTTTAAGCGAGCAATCTCCTCCTCATCATCTCCAGTCACAACCGTGTCATCAACATAGACAATTAATATAGTGGTTTTACCATTATAGTGTCTGATGAACAAGGCATGATCAACATTACTTTGAGAATAGCCAAAGAAAAGCATGGCCTTATTGAATCTATTAAACCATGCTCAAGGTGACTGCTCCAGCCCCTACAATGCTTTCTTCAATCTGTAAATCTTACTTTTGGTTTTTTCATCATCAAAGCCTGGAGGAATACCCATGTACACTCTTCTTTTAGATCACCATGCAAACAATCATTTTTTTGCATCAAATTGATGTAGGCTCCAATGCAGGTTGGTTGCACGGGATAACATGACTCTGATAGTGTTCATCTTTGCATTTGGAGCAAAAGTCTCCTGATAGTCCACCCTATAAGTCTGAGTAAATCTCTTTGCCACCAATCTGGCTATATATCTTTCAACTGTCCCATCTCCCTTTGTTTTATTGTGAATATCCATTTGCATGCTATTGTTTTCTCTCTAATGAAGGGGTAACAAGTTCCCAAGTTTCATTTTTTTACCAAAGCTTTCATCTCCTCCACTATTGCTGCTTTCCATTTTGGATCTTGATATGCTTCCTGACAATTCTGTGGAATAGAAGCAGAAAAAACAGACAATACAAAGGCTCTATAGGAAGGAGATAAAGAATCATAGGAAACACATTGGGATATAGGTTGTTTGGTGCAAGTTCTAACCCCTTTTCTGAGAGCAATGCGAAGATCAACATCATCAACTACAAGTTCAAAGTCAGGAATATTAACAAAAGGAATCACATCAAAATTAGAACCAGGAGTTGTAGAAGACTCACTTGATGGTTTTTCAGGAGCTGATTGCAGAGATGATGGTTGACTTTGTGTATCATGCATGATGGCATTAACCTTATCTCTTTGACTGTACCTCTTTAAATCTGGCCTATCAAGTCTACCCTTTTTTTGGCTCATGTTCATTACTAGTGTTTAGTTTCACAAATTGTTCAAGAATAGATATGGACATAGGAGCTAAAGGAGCTTCCTCTTCTATCCTAATCTCCCCCTGAAGAGGAGCTGGTGAGAAATAAGGCTCAAACTCTCTAAAGATCATATTCATACTCACAAAGTATGTTTTTTGGTTGGGGGATGATAACACTTATAACCCTTTTGAGTGGCAGAATAACCAACAAATACACATTTCAAAGCTCTAGGTTCTAACTTGCTTCCATGCCTGTGATGAACAAAACAAACACAACCAAATATTTTTAGAGGAACAGTATATGGGGTTGGAGGAACAGTATATGAGGTATTACCCCATAAGGCTACTATATGACTTTCAAACAGGCACCCTATTAATGAGATAAGTTGCAGAAAACACTGCATCTCCCTAGTAAGTCTTGGGAACATTCATGGTGAATAAAAGAGATCTAGCTACCTCTAATAATTGCCTTTTTAGATACCCCATTTTGAGCACTAGTATTCACACAACTAGTTTGATCTGTGATTCCATTTGAGTCTAAATATGCCTGAAACATGCTATCCATTTACTTTGTTCCATTATCAGTTCTTAAAAATTTTCACCTTCGCATCAAATTGTGTACTAATCATGTTATGCAAAGATTTAAAGCAAGAAAACACTTCACGTTTTGCTTTCAGCAAGTAAAACCCAGTTAATCTAGTGCAACAATCAGTGAAGGTGATAAACCATTTATAACCAGATAAGGAAATAGTAGAAGTAGTAACCCATACATCCAAATGAATAGTCATGAAAGGGACTGAACTTTTATTATTATGGGAAATATAAGAACACTATGTATGTTTAGCAAGTTCACAAGCATCACAACTTAAAGACTCTAACTGAGAATGCTCAAAAAGACTAGGATATAATTTCCTTAGAACAAAAAAAGAAGGATGTCCTAATCGCCTTTGCCATATAAGTATTTCTTGAATAGCATTACCATGATTTCCTAATAGGGCTCAAGGAATACAATGAGCTAGAGGACTGCAACCTTTTTCGAGAAGATACAGGCCATCTCGCAGTCTACCAAAGTCAATTGTTTTCTATGTTCTCAGATCCTGCAAAACACAATGAGTAGGAAAAAAAAAAAAAATTCAACTTTGCAGTTGAGAACTTTCGTAATGGCATTAACATATAAAAGGTTTACAGGAAAACTAGGAATATGAAGGACATAAGTTAAATCAATGGTGGATGTACACTTAATAGAACCTGTGCCAGAAATAGATGCCAAAGAACCATTTGTAATGCGAATAGTTTCTTTGCCTGAACAAGATGAATAGATACAGTTTCTTTGCCAGAACAAGATGAATAGGTTAAAATTTATTAAAAGAGCTTGACATATGTTTGTTTGCTCTTGAATCTATAACCTCTGAATCCTCAACGGAATTAGTAAAAAGGGCCATACCAGATTGCATTTCGGGAATAGGACTTCACTTAGCCGCCTTACCTTAGCCGGGGCCTTGGAAGGATCTGGTCATAGCATAGTGAAAAGAGCTGGACACCCAAAGAGATGGGAAGGAAGGCAGTGAGTAGGTAAAGCCTGGACAAGTACGCTATTAAATGAAATCAACTGGAGGACTAAGATAAAGATCGAGACAAAGCTAGAAAGCAAGGATCACTTAGACAAAATGGGCATCTTTCAACTAATGGAACCTCACCCAGTTTCTAAGCCTTGTGAAGTCCAAATCGAGAAAGAAAGGGGCACTCGATAGAAAGCATTCGTCCATCCTATTGTGAAAAAGAGGAGTGGCTGTGGTGGATAAAGAGTCAAGCTTTGACAAAAACAGTCGTAGTAATTGTACCTCTTCAATAGAGAAATTTCCAATAGAAGATGCTCCAGGTAGGTATGCAATAGGACTGATTGAACCAATCTTTTTACCACCATGACCCATCCTTTTACTACCACGACCCCTGGTCAGTCGTCCATGCAATTTCCAACATGCATTAGTGATTTTAATACCATCACCCATTGTATATAACCCAAAAATGTAGTGAATCAGGTTTGAAAACCCAAAAAAGGACCCAAAAAAAGGAGTGACCTTGTATTTGAAAGAACCAGGCTGAGAGAATGGGCTAGGAAGCGTTGCAACACTGAGGCGAAGCTGCCGGAACAAGTCGGCGTTGGAAATTTGGCCAGAAACAGTGCCACGCGCTGGCGGGTGGAAGAAGCGGCGGAAGCTTGCGGCGACGCGTGAGGTCACACACTTAGATGGACAGTGACCAACCTCTGGGGAAAGGCTGATCGGCAGGTCCTCTTCCCCCTCCAATGGGCGGTGTAGGTCACCTCCCTCTCCTTGGTTGCCCAAATGCTTAGCCCTTGCCTGGGGTTTCTCTCTCTATTGTGTTTGAGCTGAAACAAAGTTAGCCAGCTCTGATACCATGTTGTTTTTCAGAGAATATGGGGAGAAAATTCTTTTTTCTATTTCTTGTATATTTGTGATTTACATCTAGCTGTATATATACACATAAGCCTACAACTATATAGGAAATTTACAATAAAGGAAATAAATCATATAAGAACATATAAGTCCACTTTTATTTAAAGTGAGATTACCCTGGTAATAGCTGTATTTATACCTAAACTCACATCTTTTGTTTGAGCTCTTAAGTTCTTCTGTAATTATCACTTACATAACAAAAATAGAAAAGGCGCATGCTTACTTCTGGGCATATTCCAGCAATTTACTTATTTATGATATGGTTTAGAGATCATACTTTTACAAGAGAACATTTACTTTCAGTATAGGAAAAAAAACAACGTATGTTGCCAGTAGGCTTATGTGGGTGTATTTTGTTTGTAGGATTTGATACCACCATCATACCTTGATGAACTTTCGCTCTTGCAAGATCGAATAACTCCATTCTCCTCTGAAATTGCTTTAAATACGATAGAACAGGAATTTGGGTTGCCAATAGACCAGCTTTTCTCAGAGATTTCACCAGAGCCTGTTGCTGCAGCATCCCTTGGGCAGGTTTTTGCTTATTTATGTACTTTTTTTTGTGATGCAAGGATCATTGTGTATTTTTGCTTATTATGTGTATATATATTGTCATCTGCATGAAAATGTTTGAATGACTACTACTCTCTCTCATGCATATGGTGTGCACGTGCACATGAATACACACACATATAGGTCTATCAAGCAAGGCTTCAACGTAGCGGACAGGTTGTTGCTGTTAAAGTGCAGAGGCCAGGAGTTCAGGCTGCTATTGCCTTAGATATACTAATCTTGCGTTTTATGGCTGGAGTGATAAAGAGAGTAGGAAAGTTTAACACTGATCTCCAGGTAATCACACTTAAAAAGTTGAAATATGGGTCTCTTCTCTACCACTTCCGCTGGTCTAGACTAAAAAACATGGGTTTCAATTTGCAGGCACTCGTTGATGAATGGGCATCTAGTCTTTTTCGGGTAGATTTTATCCCATGGGACAAGTTTTACTTTTGAGTTCATTTATATTTCAAACAATGATGCCCTTGTTTCTTTTCATTGCATCAATTATATGTGTTGAATTACACATGGTTGCATACGCTTTATTTGCTAAGGAATTTTTAAATTCATATTCTCATTAAGAAAAGATGCATGCATTGTTTAATCTAATTCAAATTATTACTACTGCTAATCAAGTAATTTTCTCTTTCATATATTTCCCCTTGATGACAATGACAGCATATATTAATCCTTATTCTTTCAAGTAATGGCCATATTCTGTTGTCTTACGCCTGGAGGAATTTTTATTCAGGCTGACAGGTTAAGGGTGCATAAACATCCATGTTGAATTATACTTTTTAGTGTTTGATGTGCTTGTGAAGCATTGGGCATTGATTTGTTAAGTCACAATGCATTTGGCAAATTGAAAACTATCTGGTATATGCATGTCCTTATTTATATGGTTATGAATCTATAAGCTCATGTACATATGTAGCGCATGCATGTGTGTGGATGCATCGCAATCATGTTAGCTGTATCGTTTTTCATAATCAATGTAGATGGGTTTTAGCTGTGCATTTGCCTATGGTCTTTTAAATATTTTGCATGAAAAATTGTGGAGTAATTGTGTTATGTGCATGTAATGTGGAACTTGTGAGTGCCTTATGAAGAAATTTCAACTTTGACAAGATACTATAATAAGTGGATAGCATGATATTTGATTGTGAAAGGCTAAATTCTCAAAACAACCAAATATAAATGCTACTAACAGGGATTCAATTGAATGTGAATGAACATACACTCTAGTCTTGCATTTTTTGTTAGCATCATAAATGATAGTCTATTAGCCTTTTTCTTTCTGAATTATAATCTGTTTTTCTTCCTTAAGAGTTTTATATTTTTGATAGGATTTTCTATTGTTAGTTGTCACAATTTCATTTGCTTGGCCCTTCAAATTGTTGATAATATTATGCATTTTTCTACTTTTAGTTGAACTCCCATTATCTACATGTTCCTTTTTGCCTAATTTGAGGTATATTCTTAGAGCTTCATATTGAATACAGGTAAATCACATTGAATGCAGGAGATGGACTATATGAAAGAAGCAAATAATGGAGTCAAATTTAGGTAATAGCATGATTTCTAATAAATCTTGACGTCCAATGTTCACAACTGAAGTTTTCTGCCCTTTAGCATTATTATTGATTTTTTTTTTCTGCCACCTAGTGGACTTCTCTATAAAGTATTCTTGGATTTGGTGAAAGGAAGAGGTTGTTGATATGTATCATATCATGGTATGAAACGCTTTTGCCTCTAATGAGGTGCCGAACCATTGGTTTTGACTGGTGATTGGGATGCATGGAAAAATGGGTCAAGCTTTTACAATTGTCGGTATTACTTAGCTAATAAATTTTAAGTTGAAACTGAATTTTGTTTAGGGATCTTTTTTTTTTTTTAAAAAAAAATCCTATGTAGACACATTTTGTGAAGAATTTCATCTGTGAGCTGTTGATCTTTTTTTGGCTGAAAACAAGTCATGTAATGTTTTGAAAAAGGATAGCTTGATCAGAGGGGTAGCATATAAAAACTAATAAGAAGTAATTTGCCTTCATACTTTGATTTCATCTGTGGCTATGGTGTTCGCATAACACTCTAACAAGAACTTGTGATGGGAATATTGTTGTTGTTGTTGTTATTATTATTATTATTATTATTATTATTACTGTTATTATTATTGTTATTGTCGTGAATAAAGGGACCTTGATAACTTGTTATTTTTTTAGTATTTTCCCCTCTTAATAACTGATTGGAATGAAGTTTTTCATGATGAATTATTCTAAACATTACATATTTAGGTGGAATAATTATTCATAAATCAACCTGGATTATTTTTAGCATGAGTTACACTGCTATTATGCAGATCCTTTGCTTTATTAGCAGATTATGCTCTACAACTAGAACTAATATAACTTTCCGTGCTCATTTTTGTTTTGTATTTAATTTTTGAATCTACAATGACTAGTAATGAATTCTTGTAATGCTTGAAAAAGAAGTTCCTTTCTCATATGCTGTAAAGTTCCCTAGAGTAATGTGAAGGCGAACTATTCTGATTTTATTTATGCTCCTATATTTCACATAAAAACACTCACACATGCATGTATATCCTAGTATGCTTCTTGGTTTTAATACTAGTTAACATTATGCTAAATTCTTAAACAGGAAGCTCTACGGTGATATAAAAGACGTTTTGGTTCCAGAAATGTACATGGACCTCACAACTCGTAAGGTCCTTGTAATGGAATGGATTGAGGTACTCGTCCCCTAATTGTTATTTTTTGTGTACTTGTCCATGTGCTTGTCCATGCAGCTTCCTCAGCTTGCTAATTTAAGCTCAATGTAATGAGTAGTTTTACACAAATACTGCTACACTTTTGTTAAGAAAACACCCAGTCACCATGATTTTCCCATTTCCCTTTTCATTTTATATTTGATGGTACAGATAATATTTCAAAATATGGATCAAATGGTAACATAATAAAATTGTTGGCAACATTTGATTTTCTGAAAAATCAGGGTTACCAGTAAAGTATTTTTTCTCTGAAGACCGTCCTTCAGTACTTGTATATTTCTATATGTGTGCACAGAATTTTTCACTTGACTTTATTTATTTAGTTATCTATCTGTAATTTTTTAGGGAGAAAAGTTGACTGAAGTGAAGGATCTTTACTTGATTGAGGTATGTTTTGAAATGAAGTGCATTTCACTCCATAATAATAATTAAAGAAACTGCAATTGTTTTGCTTTGGCCTGTGGCTGAGTTAGATTGCTCTTTTCTGGAGCTGACTAGGTGGGAGTTTACTGCTCATTTAATCAACTTTTGGAGTATGGATTCTATCATGCGGATCCACACCCTGGAAATCTTCTTCGTACAAAAGATGGGAAACTAGCTTATTTAGGTATTTTTCCCTGATTTTGAAAACATAGCATTAAAATTTTTATTTGCTTATGCCTTAACTGTTCCTATAATCTCATCTTGGATAAGAGTAAATTTTGGTGTGGCAGGCTCTCCAACTCTGCCTTGAAATATTGTGGTGGTAACCTTACATTTTATTTCTCTATTTCTGTTGATGCTCCCTGCAGCCTACCTTATAGAGGTTGTTGAATGTAAATTGTGGTATAACCTTATACAGTGCATGTATTTAGCATATTGTGTTTGTATTTGATATAATATGGAGAAAAGGCCTGAGATTTTGAATATATCAACCATATATTTAGTCCCCATAATAAGGGTAAATGACCAGCAAAGCATGAAATTTGGGTAGTCTTTTGTAGCCATTTCTTTTAATTTTGTAATTCAGTTTTAAGGCTTCAGTTAGTGTTTATATATAGAGTGGAAGCTGAAATAGAGAAAGGGGAAACAAACATAACATAAATTTGAATTGCATCATTGGTGAGGTTTCTGTGTCCATATACTTTTGCCTGCATCAATTGGTACTGCAAAGTTAACTGTCATGTAATAATGGAAGGAACTTGCCATGCAGAATTAACTTTTAATGAATTTCACTGCCAGATTTTGGAATGATGGGTGAATTTAAACAAGAATTCCGTGATGGATTCATTGAAGCTTGTCTCCATCTTGTAAATCGTGATTTTGATGCATTGTCCAAGGACTTTATTACTCTTGGGTATGCTTATTATCTCAGTTCTAAGCCACTTGCTGAAGAAATCATTGTCATTGGTGTCATAAGCCTAAATTAGTTTCTGCTCTACAGGCTTCTTCCCCCAATTGCAGACAAGGAGGCTGTTACAATTGCTTTAACAGGTTTTTTCTTTTTTGTACAAGTGAGGCTATAATCTGAGTTGTTGCATCTCTTGGATTAGGTTGCCCTTGAACTCATATTCTTCGAGTTATATGAAGTGTTTCTAATATTATCTGCTTATCGATAGGTGTCTTCCAAAATGCTGTTGAAAAAGGAGTCCGCAATATTAGTTTTGGAGACCTTTTGGGAAACTTGGGAACTACAATGTAAAGTATTCTTGTTTCATCGTTACATTGACAAGATATGTACTTTTGGTGTATAATATGCCATGATACCAAGAGAACACACATGAGTAATCTATCTTCTTGGTATATATTCTTACAGGCATATACTGTTTCATAGAGGATAAAATTTTTGAATAGAATATCAAGTTGTTGAATAAAGGTTTCAATGCAGTTATCTGTGAAACCTAAATAAATTGTTTTTCAACTAGATTTGGGGGGGGGGGGGGTATATTCTTACAGGCATTATGACTGTTTCATAGAGGATAAAATTTTTTAATTAGAAATATTCAAAGTTGTTGAATAAAGGTTTCAATGCAGTTATCTGTGAAACCTAAATAAATTGTTTTTCAACTAGATTTTTGGGGGGGGGGGGGGGGGGGGGGGGGAAGGAAAAACTACACATCATCAGAGTTATGCACTTCTAAGAGCTTTATCATTATAAGATGGCGGCATATGTTCCGCCTATTAGTTTCTGGAATACAGAACTAAATTCTGAAAGGTGAAGTTTAATTACATATGAAGCTTGTATCTGTTGATTTTAACTTGCCTAGAATACATAGTAATTAAAGGCGCAAGGCGCACTAAGGCACAAAGGGCTGCTGGAGCCTAGGCGCTAGCCTCCAGGCGAAGGTGCGCGCCTGAGTGAAGTGAGGCGCAAAGGAAAAAAAAAAAAAAAAGAATAAAATACATAAATCTGAAAAGTATATTTTAAGATATCAATCAAAAAAAAAAAAGAAAAAGTAGAAAACATGGAAAGAAACACACATAAATACGAAAAAAATGGCAACATGACAAGTTATATTTTAAGATATTAAAGTTAAGACAGAAAAGAGTGTAATCAAAAGACTGAAAAAAAGAAAAGAAATGGAAAGCAAATATAGGAAGAAAAATTGAAAGAGTTATATTTGGATGGAATGAGGCTAAAGACTAGATTGCAAGAGATGAGTACTAGATGGAGTGGAGGTTGGATCACAAAGCACAAAGCACATCACTGGTTTTTTGTTGCATTTTATTCTATATTTATTATTTATTTTGGTGAGCTGATGTTGCTTTATATTGAAAAAAACCCTAGCGTGACTTGTTATGGACAACAAAAAATAGAAATTGAAAGAGTTATATTTGGATGGAATGAGGCTAAAGACTAGATTGCAAGAGATGAGTACTAGATGGAGTGGAGGTTGGATCACAAAGCACATCACTGGTTTTTGTTGCATTTTATTTCTTTTATATTTATTTATTTATTTTGTGAGCTGATGTTGCTTTATATTGAAAAAAAACCCTAGGTGACTTGTTATGGACAACAAAAAATAGAAAGACGCGCCTTTCTTGAGCCTTAGGCGCAAAAAAGGCGCATGCCTCTACCCAAAGGCGATAGCCTGAGTGAAGTCGACCGCCTCAGGGCAGTTGAGGCGCAAGCCCTTGAGCCTTAAGTAAGGCGCTCCTGAGGCGTGCCTTTAATAACTAAGCTAGAATATATTACATTATGTGGCGAATTCTGCCTTGGAGGCCTCTATTTTCATTTATGATTACAAAATTTTGTATCAATATCCTATTTCAGATAGATATCTGGAACTGTTGTTCAAGGACTTGTGTGCTTAATCCCTGCAGTTGTTCGTGAAATGCTGCAGTTACCTATATTATTCTTTGGCAATCACATTATCAAGACTGTCTGGAATATCGTATTTGAGAAATATTTGAATATCTTGCATGTTTTACTCATCTGTATGAATAAGTTCTGTACAATATATATAGGTCTCAGAAATGATGTGATGGAAGCTGAGGCTTAGGCTGGACAAAAGATTGAAAATCTTAGTGGCAGTTAGTTAAACTATTGATGTGTTTTTGAAATGAGGTATTGATATAATGTTATTTATTTGCAGGTACAAGTTCAAATTTCAAATACCTTCATATTTTTCTCTTGTCATCCGCAGGTAGTCATACTGCTGCATTATGTGGATACTATTGTTTGATTAGAGTTATTGTTGGTTCTCAATTCTCTATGTATTCCTCATATCATAGAATTACCAGTATTGCCTAAATTACACTCTTTTTCCTTTATCTTAGTCTTGCAGTCCTTGAAGGCATTGCTGTCAGTTTTGACCCAAATTACAAAGTTTTGGGGAGTACATACCCATGGATAGCTAGGAAAGTACTAACTGATAGCTCACCTAAACTGAAATCTTCATTACAAGCTCTGCTTTACAAGGCAAATCTGCAGAACTTTTCTAATATTGTCAGATATGAAAGCATTATTCTGTTTTCTGTACTAAAGCACATCCTTATCCCCATTCCCTTCTCAGGATGGAGTTTTCAGAATTGATCGTCTGGAATCTCTACTTTCAGAGGTGAGCTTTATGTTTTTCTCTTGAACTTTTTGTTTCTGCCTGTTAACTTTTTTTCATCTTGATTGTTATAATGATCAAATTATAAGGCCACTGATTTGTTGCTAAAGCGTGTTTCTGTCTCTGTCTTTACAAGGTTCCCTATGATTGTAGCACTTTGTTGCATTCCGTATAATATTTTAGCATTACATCAGAAAAAGCTAGAGTTTTTTGGATTTTTATATCGCAAGGGCTTCAGGGCTTTCAGAGCATAGCTGTGATTAGGCGCGTCCGACTCAAGGCACAGGTCCTGGAGCCTCAAGAGCAGAAAGTAGGACGACCTTACGGAGGCGTGCGCCTCTGGAAAAAAGCCCTGGCCTAGGTGCAAGCGCAAGGCACAAAAAAAGCGCGCTTTTTGTTATTTTATGCCACCAACAGACTTTAGGGTTTTTCTTTTTAATATATGCAGTCCAGCTGTGTTTATATAGACTTCTATTAATAAAAAAATTAAAAATAAAAAACTTAAAGAAATAGAAGATATTGGTAGATCTGCAGAAGGAAAAATGGAGCTCCACTCTACTTCAAGCTCCTCTACACTAGTTCATCGACAATCAAAGAAAGCCCCCAATTAGATGATTTAAATCTATTAAAGCCTTCACAAAGAAATCTTCTCCTCAAATTCAGCGATTGACTAGGAAGATATGTCTGTCAACTATTCTTTAAATTTTTTTCTCAATTTCCCTCTCTCTCTCTCTCTCTCTCTCTCTCTATCGATTTGATTCAACAGTTGGCTTCTACTCCCTTCTCTTTCAAGTCTAATGGTTCAATTATAAGCTGTTATGCCATCGATTTTTTTTGCTGATTTGTGCTGCTGAAATTTAGGCTAATGGCTATTACTTTTAGTTTAGGGCTGCTGAAATTATGATTTATATAAAGCTATGGTTATAATTCTTAACATCTTTTTATGCGTTTACTTTCAATTATATTTAGATATTCCAAGTATTAAATAGTTTGATTTAAGATTCTATATGTTTTATATTATTAATATGAATTTTTTGCTCAATTTTGGAATTATTTTATATTTTTTCCAAATTTTTCTTTATTTTTGCGCCTTCGCCTTGCTTCTTGCCCCTAAGGCTCCAGGACTCCTTTGTGCCTTAGTGCACCTTGCGCCATTGACAACTATGTTTCAGAGGAATACCTTTTAGTACTTTCCAAAGAGATTGGAGCACTTTACTGCTTGTCTCCATCCGGTGGTCTAATACAATATCTTTTTCTTTTCTTGACAAAAAGATAATTATAACGTTTGATGCATTCCTAACCTGCCTTAACTTCTTTTTAGTAGCTTTTATTAGACCTGATACTAGGGTGGGGATTGGCCTATTGCCCCTGACCACACGAACGTAGGCTCTGGCAAGGATTTTTGTCCTTGCTTGAAAGGATCCAATCGAGCCCTTGGGCTGGCTTGGTTGATTAAAACCTCTAGGTTCGCGCACCCAGCCCATGTGCCAATTTTTGCCTTAAAAAAGGAACACACGTTATATTTATGCTGGACTGGGCTTGGTCTGGGTGGAATCAGGATTGAATGTTAAAAAATTTCAACCTAACTGGTGCTGACCTGGTGCAACTGACAGTCACCTCTTAGCCGTTGTATGGACTGGCTGCTGTACAATATGCAAAACAAAAAAACCCAAAAAAAAAATAATAAATAAAAAAAATCAGAGGACGATTTTATGATACTGATATTTCAGTTTTGCTAAATAAATTTATTCATAACCATACACTAATATTTGGCAGTCCTTTCGTGCCCGCACTGAAAGGGCCTTGGTTAAACGGCAAATCGAAGACACTGGTTCCAGAGTTGCTATCAAGGAAATACTTTCCTTCACCCTAACTGAGAAGGTTCTCCTTTTATTTTAACCTTTTTTCATTTCATAGTATTCGTTTCAACTTATTTTGTGACTCATTTACAGGAGTAATCCTAATTTCTTTTTCAATCTTTATTCTTAAATATTAGCAGGGTTCCTTTGTGAAGGAGATACTTCTTCAAGAAGTTGCTAAGGTAACTCTGTAGGTGTCGTCTCTATGTTTATCAACTACGGACTATTCCATTGTTGAAAAAGATTTAGGTGATTTTCAGAAGAATGAACTTTCTTAGAGACACATTCAGGATTGAATTTGCCTAAAATTAAACTAATTGTTAATGAAAAAAATGTTCCAGAGTACATTCCAGTAATCATTTGGACCATTTAATCATTTTCGTTTCTTTTTTTCTTCAGACGAGCATGTTGAAAATTATAATTTGTTGCAATTGATCTTAGATTAAAGAAGATTAAATTAGTTGAGCCATTTTCTCAAGTATAATACTGTTTGTTTCTAAAGTAGAACTGTGATGGTTTATATGTTACTTTTAGTTTGAAAGGTATTCTGCATTCAACATGAATTAGTCTATTCTCTTGTGTTTTATTTAAAAGCTTTTCTAGAGCCTCAAAAGGCAAATATATATATGGTTGAAAATGATCAGCTATATTCTGTTTGCTTGTAGATTTTGAGAAGTTGCCAAGTCTATTACTTTTTTTTCTTTTTCTCCATTAGATCGAAGCACCCTTTGGCATGAAAGATTGCCAATTCACACATACTTTAGTCAATTGGTTGTAGTTGGCTTTGATGTGTCAAACTGCTTTTTAAAATGTGTACAGGGATTGGATGCACTTGGGCTAGCTACACTTGATTTTTTAACTTCCGCGGCAGCCATAAGCATACCCTTTGCTGCTCCCTCTTCTTCGTCTTCAATGACTGAGGAAGACATAATGAACTTGAGGACTTTGCGTCGCCTTATGCTACTGTTGTCAGGTTCCCAAAAGAATGGCAGTTCCATTGAGGTGAGTGTTTTTTGTTTATTGGCATTGTGACGTTGAGGCACATAGCCTTGTATAAATCAAAATCTAAATGATAGTATTATTCTTCTTAGTAAGCTTGTTGACAAAGAAACTCTTACATAAAGACAGATGTATATATTTCTAGATCATGGTGCTATTGCATGACAGGGAATGATTACATTTAGCAAAGATAATTGAATCTTTTTGGAACTTAAAATAATTTATAATGACAGGTAAATTGCCTTACAAGATAACTGTCATTCTTTCTCCCTTCAATAAGAAAAGTTGACTGAAAAATAATATTGAACTGAAACCTAAGATGCATGTTGAAGAATTCTATTTCCAGTGCTTTAAAGACAAAATTTATAGTGTGACAATATCTCATTCCATCTTTAAATTTTAATGTTGCTTATTATCTAACTGATTATGCTGGAATTCACATTCATATAGGAGGTTAAAGGGCCGTACAGGAATCCGAATATATTCTTGGAAGAAGTATCTGATTTCTATCAACTTGAATCAGTTCAAGATATTCTGCCCGTGCTTTCTGTTATTCCTGAGGTAAGCTCATGTATGTTTACTACATGCATTCTGGCATAATTATTATAGCCTGCACATGCACACACCGTGAGCTATCACCAATGATGGACCCATAGCTGAACACAAATTCTTCTGTGAAAACTGCATTCTTTTTTTCTTCTTGATACAAAGAAAATTATTAAAGGGGATAGAGGCTGCCAGGATTTAGATTCCCGACTGCACCACGATCCAAATAATTGACCACTGAGCAAATGGCCCAATGGTGATTTGATTGTGTTTGACCCGTGGGTCTTATAGACTAATTCCATATTTGGGAGTAAGATCCTGCCATGCATGTCCAAAATAACATGTACAAGATACCCATCCTCACATTTGCAGTTGATTTGCACTATTGTCAGCACAATATACAATATGCCTCAAGCACTTTTGCAATTAGGGTAACTGTGATAGTTCTAATGCTTCTGCAATTTTAAATTCCTTTAAATAAATTTTGCTTTCATTGACCAAAATTTCGCCAAAAATGGTCAATTTACTAATTACATCTTCTAATATATGGCAGCTCCCACCACAGCTGCAACAGCAGGTGCTTCTGTTGCCGGCTGATATTGCTGGAAGGTTGATTTCCCGTGCCACTGCTAGGACTATCAGGAGGATGTTTCTGTGATGTCAATTTGGCTTCCAGACAAGAAAGTGTCTTTGTTGTGAATACACACACACACACACACACACACACACACACACACAACAGAATTAAACCACTTGGCAACTGTTTATGTTGAACGAGTAGAGGAAGAGAATCATAGAAGCTGGGGGCACTTGGTTGTACAAATTTCTGGAATATAGGCAAAAATCTTTTAATGTTCCATTCTCCTCAAACAGAAACGGAAACTCTATTTATTTTCATGAATTGCATTTTATTTTAATTTCGAAAGCAAACCTAAAATATTCTGAATTTTTTTGTTGCTGAAGGTTATGACTTGTTTCTAGACTTGCAGATTAAAAGTCTACCAAGTAACTTAAAATTTGCAGAACAAATCATAGAAAAATCTGGAAGTTTAGGAAAGTTTTTTGATGGAGTTCTTGTTGCCCCGTAGATAGTTCTGAATTTGTTTAAGAACCTGCAAAAATCCAAAGCAAGAATAGAAAATTCAGTCCAGAAATTGTTAAATGCAAGTGAAGTTCAAAATCAAGCAAAGGCGAGACCTCAAGTGCGATAGTAGCTGGTTCAAGATCAGACACATCCTGAGCGCCCAGATTGTCCGCAAGATCTATAAATAAAAATGAAAAAAAAAAAAAAAAATTCAGTATATGACCGATACAAAATGTTCCCTTTCTGATATATGTACAACAAAGAAATTGAGAAAATGCAGCTCATCAAATCAGCAACCGCAACATACGTGAAATGGAGACAGTTATATCCGCATCAGAATAGGCCTGAAATCGGTTTTTCGAAAGAGCAAGAAGTCCCATAAAAGCCTACAAGGATGTTGAAGAGTGAAATGTTAGTGGTAGTAATCCTAGTACATAGAAATTGTTAATTTGGTACAAAATGCGATAAAAATGTTGAAAAAAGAAGGAAAAAAAAAGGACCTTTTTGTAAGAATCCCCAGAATCAAAATGAAGCAGAGGACGAGAATCAGTCCCTAATGCAGCAATTCTCTTTGCCAATGTGTCCAACGGTACATCTAAGAATACAGTTATTCCTTGGCTCATATATTTCCTAAAAAGCAAAATTAAGTTATGGAGGTGATTTAGATAATGAGATGAATATATAAGATTAGTGAATCACGCTTACCAGTTTACTGGCCGAACAACCGCACCACCACCTGTAGCAACAACTTGCTGAGGAACTAAACATAGCTTATGCAATGCCTCACTCTGTACAGTATCAAGTCAACCAAATATATACATGCTGCTCATGTTAGTAGGTTCTCATATACCCCTCCACCCCTCTTGCTTTGGGGTGGTTCAGATTTGGATTGGGTGGTTCAAATAAAAAATATTAACGAGGCGGATTGAGTTATATATTTGAACCCATTGTTGCTCTCAAATGGAGCATGTTTTACGTGTCTTGTTCAAATCATATTTGGGTGGATATCAGTCGATAAAAATAAAATGATCATCTCTACATTGAGAGGATTCAAAACCATCTCAATTCCAACATTTGAAACTATAGGTGGTCCCGAAAACAGGATGAAATCAGATTGGAACCAGCTCAGTTCAGACCGATTCCAATTCTTGATCTGGAGGATTAGAGGCGGCTGTTTTGAGATCGACGGTTGGTCCTAAATAGGGAGCGAAAGCAAAAAACTTAAAAACACTGACGGATGGGTGATATTCATGAGGCCAAGAGCTTTTGGACTTAGGGTGCGCTTTTGCACGGGCACAAGGCGCAAAAAAGGCACGCCTTTCAAGCATCAAAAACTTAGGCAGGGAACAAAAAAAAAAAAAAAAAAATTTTGAGATCGACGGTTGCGTTCCTAAATAGGGAAGCGAAAGCAAAAAACTTAAAAACAACTGACGGATGGGTGATATTCATGAGGCCAAAAGAGCTTTTTGGACTTAGGGTGCCGCTTTTGCAACGGGTCACAAGGCGCAAAAAAAGGCACGCCTTTCAAGGCATCAAAACTTTAGGAGGGAACAAAAAAAAAAAAAAAAAAAAAGAAGCGACATAATTTTTATGTACTTTTCAATAATATTTGTGCATCTTACACCTCAGCTTTTGTGATTGTATTGCATGTTTTACACGTACGATACAAGTGCCACATGCTACGTTACGTACAACCACAGTCAAAACATATTGGAGAATCACAATTAAATCCTAAACTCATACTACTTTTACAATCAAATCCAAATTAAAATTTATTATTTTGACAATTATATCATCTACATGTTTTATATTATTAATGATAATTTTTTTTTCAATTTTGAAATTATTATCTATTTTTTAATTACTTTTTAAATTTGCAATCACGCAGGCGCGCGTCTAGGCTCAAACAGTTTCTTTGCGCCTTTAATATCTGTGCTCTTAAATCGATAATGTACTTACAGGATTATCAACAAAAAGCATTTATGTTATGAACAAACCTCAAAATCTCTGAAGAAATTCTCGCCGTACTGCTCATATATATGGGCCACACTAATGCCACCAGTAGCTTGCTCTACATATTTGTCACTGCATGCCAAAATATGTTGTCTATGGTCATAAAAATTTGTAATAGTAATTTGTGAACGGTTCAAATCAAAATAACAATAAATAAATGAATAAATAAATAAATAAATAATTAACCTGTCCACAAAAGTATAACCTAGTGCTTCTGATAAAATCTTGCCCGTCGTTGTTTTTCCAGCTCCCATCATTCCTGAATTTTACACTCTTTTACACTTTACTCACAAAGATTTACATTAAGAATATAGAAACAAAGGTTAAATTGTAAAAAAAAAAAAAAAAAAAAAAAAAAAAAAAAAAAAAAAAAAAAAAAAAAAAAAAAAAAAAAAAAAAAAAAAAGACAATTTACTGGTAAAAATTTACTCATAAAGTGAAGGAACAAACCAACAAGAAATAGACTGCATCCATTTAAGCATAAGGCGACTTCTTGCCCCTTTGTCTGCAATAAGAATATAAATTAAATAAAATAAAATAAATGGTAAAAAAAAAATTAAACAAATAAGTGCAAATTTGATACCTTTAGCAGCCAATTTTCATCAGACGAGGCATGCAACTTCTCTGATTGCAGGACAGGAGCTAAAAAATAATTAAATAATATTAAAAAACGAACCCAGTATACATTTAAATTTATTATAATAATTCGGATTTTAAATATACGAGTTAAAAAAAATTTTATGCAAGAATTTTTGTTTTGGAAAAAAATATTTAATGGCCTAATAAGTCAAGGGTTAGAAAATAACAAGTAGCATAAAAGCAAAAAGGTAGCACAAGATTACTTGACAAAAAGAAAAGGAAAATCTACTTTTACAATTCGCTTCACTGCAAGAATGTAATTAAAGTTAATGGAAGATCAATGCATGTGGTGTTTGGTTGCTGAGAAAATCGTGAGAATCAGAAACTTAAATTTCAGAATCTCACGATAAACACACTTTTATAAGGTTTATACAGAACCTCATTTCTTCTTTTACATATCGGTTTCTTAGCAATCAAACAATAGCTAAATTGAGACGATAATTTCATTATTACTGCTATGGAGAAAAAAAAAAAAAAAAAAAAAAAAACAATACATGTCCATCAAAATGATGAACGGAGAGGAAGGGATAGCAACCGTGAAACGGCATCGTACCGGAAGAGGAAGCGGCGTAAGATGAGGTGATGGAGTTAGAAAGAGAAGTGCACATCATAAAAAAGGAAGAGAGACAGATGAGAATCCAGAGCAAGAAGAGAGAAACCAACCATTTTTGAGTCGTTTATTTATAAAACAAAATAATTTGTGTTTTTTTTTTAAAAAAAAAATCATTATCATTAATTGTGATATAATTTCTTTAACTAATTGGGCAAAAAAGGGAATGAGAAGTCTTAATTAAAAAAAAAATTAACGAAAACTGTAATTAAGATAGGCAAGTGTTATCCAGTGATGTTATTGAATTTTTTTTTTTCCTATTTGTAATAAAGATAGTATTAATTATTTTATTCTAATTTTATTTTTTCCAATAACTCCACTAAGCTTTGTCTATCTTAATTACTCCCTTTGTCTCATATATATATATATATATATATGCTCACTTTTCTTTTTTGTCTATCCCAAAATATAGTCCTATTTCATTTTTGAAAAGATTATTATCTAATTCTTTAATATATCCCTATTTAATGTACATTCATATTCCAAATGTTATCCATCATTTAATATTATAAAAGGATATTTTAGAAAAAAAAACTAAATAAAAAATGTAATTCGACTATATTAATTAATTTTTCTTAATCTATGTGAAAGTCAAATTAGGTATATATATATATATATGGGACAGAGGAGTACAAAGAAATAATAAAAGAATAATTAAATCAGTTATTTTAATTCTTTTCTAGAATTTAGGTAGTTAAATAATTTTTTTAATTCTTGTGAAAAGAAATTTCTTATGTTAAATTATACCGGTGGTCACCTAATTTTATACTTAGTTTTATTTAGATCACATAATTTCAATTTGTAATTCTTTAGTTACTCAACTTTAATTTTTGTTTCAATGGAAGGTGATTTACTAGAATTCGGTAATCAGATCAGTAATATGAAATTAAAAATTACATATTTCATAAAAATAAAATCATAATTACAAAGAAATATAAAAAATAAAATGAAATAATACTACACAATATAAATGATAGAGTGAAATTTTTTTCCCTTTTATTTTTTTAAAACTTGTTTTATATAAATGACGTTATTTATTAAAAAAAATTAATAGATAGATTCCAAATTAATGTATTAAGAGAAAATATGAATTTTTTAAAATAAAATTTTATTTTTATTACCATGTTAGTATTTCGAATGAGTGACCTCTTGTTGAAACAACCATCATAGTTTAGTGACTAAAAAATGACAAATTAAAGTTATATGACCTTATAAAATTAAATGTAAAGTTAAGTGATAATTAGTGTAATTTATCCAAATTTCTTACTTACAACACACCGATAAAAAAAACTTTTTGAAAAAAATATTACTGTTTTATTATTTTTTTTCTAGTAAATTATTAGAATCCTTCATTTGAATCAAAATATTATTTATAATTTGTTTTATTTAGTATATGAGTGAGTCCATAGTGTAGGTAAATCATAGTGAAAAATCTAAAAAATGTCCGCTCAACAAGACCAAGAGAATAGTAATTAGCACCCATAGATTTATAAGGTGGTATTCAACCTTAAGCAAATATTTAAACTAATTGCTTATAAGGTACATAAAAAGTATTAAATCTAACAGAGAAATAAATTATAATACCAGACTTCAAAAAGCAAAAGTCATCATTTATTGAATAAACAATCTACGAACCATATACTCGTCAAAAAAAAAAAAAAAAAAGATTAAAAGATCATTAAAAGATAAACCAAATACTCCACAGAAAATGGAGATATTACAAACTCTATACAAGAGGACATAAATCACTAAAAACAAAACACAAGAAACAATAGAAAAATAGATAAAAATATGAACTAAGCTGATTGGTGCCAAATGAATATAAATATGGAATTTATTTGAAAAAAACATTGCTTAAAGAGGAAAAAAATAGGAAGAGTTTGATACAAGGGGTAAGAATCGGTCTCTCCACGTATCTATATAAAAAAAAGAAATTAATAGAGAAAAAGGAGAAAAAAGATTAGTATTTTGTCTGATAGAGTAGAAATATTACTTTTCTAATCTAATTTGCAGTATTTAGAAAAAAGAAGTAATATTTAAGAATACTTATTAATAAAGTTAATTCATAGAGTTAAATACTTAAAAGAATATTTTTAATAAATTATTGAAAAACTAATGTAAAATGTTTTCAAAGAAAAAAAAAAAAGTTTTATGTTTAACAAAGCAATGCTATTCGTCCTGCAGCAGCTGCTTAAGCATTTTCCTATTTAAAGCTGGACAATGGCAAAAGTGGTACGAATTTGGAAGTATTTTTTAATAATTCAATAATTTTCTATTCTTGGGCAGGGCCTATGAAAAGGGAAGAAGCTTTACATATGTAAGCCACTTAAGTATCTACGAATAAATTCAGATGATTGTCCAAACGTAAGGGAAAAAAAAAAGAGAAAATAACTGGGGTTTTTAGTGCAATTTTACTAAAAGATATATATATATATATATATCCGTATTCCTCCGTTTCAAAATATAAGTCGTTTAAAGTTTTTGCACATAAATTAAGAAAGTAATTAATTGTCCTAAATTATAGCAAAATAAAGGGTAATTTGGCTAATTTACCTTTATCTTAAAACCAAGAGTAATTTGTAAAGATAGTTATTTTTCTAATGTAAATAAGGGCAATATTAGAAAATCATCATTTATTACTCTTTAAAATACTCAAGACAATTTATATTTTAGAACAGAATAGTCACTTAAAAACGACTTATATTTTGAAATAAAGGGAATTATACTAAAACCACCACTACAAATAAATTTCATTTGTTAGATTGAAATACATAAATTCACTCATAACCAATGCAATTTTAACTTTGTTGCGCTCTTAACTTTATAGAAGACTGTCATGCACTTGAATTTATAAATTTTTATAACATTACACTTTCCACACTAATAACAAATGTTTACAACTTTTTTGCTTTTTATATGCAAAATATTGATTTGATGTGTAGTTAACATAACTTTTGGGATAATAATTTTTATATTTTTTAATTATTTAATAAGTATTCAATCAATCTAATTTTGCAAGTTAAAGTGTTCAATAAAATAATTTTACAAATTAAAATATTTAATTACATGTAATAAGTATTTAAAACAAACCAAGTATGAAAAGATAAACTAAATACTTCACATAAAATAGAGAGCATCAACTTTATACAAGATGGAGAAAAACCACTAAAAACAAAACAAAAGAAATAATTGAAATATAAATATCAATAAAAACACGAAGGAAACTGGCTTGTGCCAAACAAACATGCATATGGAACTTATTTGAAAAAAAATAAGAAATTATAAAAAAGAGAAATGTAGTTATTAGGGATGACAATTTTACTCGACTCGGTGGGTATTCGATCTGATCCAATTTAATCAGTAAGTTTGGATAGTGAGCAAATGAATTTGGAACGGATTCATGTAGTATTTTTACTATCCATATTGAGTTCAAGTCGGATTTAAGGATTCAGGTACCTACTGCTAGTTTCTTATTTAATTAATATTTCAAAATATTTTAAACAATTATTATATATATTAATATTTCAAAATATTTTAAACAATTATAATATATATATAAATATATATTATATTATATTATATATATATATACACTTTTTTAGTTATAATTAATCTATAATTATATTTAATATTTCTATATAACTATCTCTTATTAATCTATATAATATCTCTTATTAAGTCAAAATAATAATTTTATAATTTTCAATTATTTTTTATTTTTGAAAAATAAAAATAAAAATTATTTTTAATACTAAACAGATATTTAAATGGATAATTACAATCAGGTTCGGGTATTAAAGATGAATTTTTAAACGAGTTCAACTATCTAATATAAATAATGTATTTTAAGTGAACACCCGACCTGTTGCCATCCCTAATTGTCATAGTGGATAAGAATCCACCTCTCTTCCATAGTTATATGCTGGGTTGTTGGATATGGATGGAGAAATTTTTTAAAAAAATAATAGACGAAAAATAAAGAGCGGCTTTGGGTTTTGTTGACACAGAAGAATGATTACTTTTATAATCTAATTTGCAGTTTTGTGAAATATGAATGAATATTGATAGAATACTACTTATAATTCAGTTAATTCCTAGAGTTAAGATTTAAAAATAATATTTTTAATAAATTATTGTAAAATTTGTTTTCAAGGAAAAAACAATATTATATTCATTCTGCAGCTGCAAAAGCATTTTCCTATAATTTAACAGCAGTGCAAAAGCTGGAGGTACGAACTTGGAAGTATTCTAACCATTGAATACTTTTTTTCTTGGACAGGCAAGGCCTGAAGGCCAAATGGCTTTACACAAGAAAAGGGAAGAAGCTTTGCACAAGAAAAGCCCTATAATTACCATTCTAATCACTCAAAACTATTTATCAAATCGATACAAGGGACAGCTAATTGATCTGATCAAGGAGACAAGTAAAACATTAAAAGATGATGCTATTCTATGTGGATCATCATAATCCTTATCAAACCCACTTAGTAGCTTTCTCTGTTCACTTTATATATAGATGATTCAATATCAATATTATTTTCAAATATATTATTTGACTATGATGTCATACTAAGACCTTCTAATTTTATATTTTGCTTATAATATTTTTTTTTTTAAAGAGAAAAAGTATCATATATTATCTCAAGGAAAAATAATCCATCAAACAGTCAGGCACTAAGTCCCAAACATGAACACGATTAAAACGATAGGACGCTCCAGCTAGACAATGAGCACCTATATTATCGTGTCTTCTAATCCAACGAACTTTGACTAGTAGAATGGAGGCTAATAACAATATACAATCAGAAATAACAATACCCAACTCACTCATATCTCTAGTCTTAGACAAAAGAGCATTAAAAATACTTTGAGAATCTATGAGGATAGTTTTGAGAATCTATGAGGATAGACCCGCACTCTGAATATGCCGGGAGTATAAACTGTTAAATTGAAACGGCAGAAGCAAAACCTTCTGCCCATAAGTGGAGAGGGTTGAACCTTCATAGAAGCTGAAAATAGCCACTGCAAACAAAATGGCCTATCCATTGTCTTTA